AAGGCGCGGTGACCCGACGCGAGCAAGGCTCCAAAACCCGCACGCGAACGCCACGCCTAACTCCGGCCGTTTCGCGTGGGAGTCGTTTCGAAAAGTTGTTTCGCAGCTCGCGAGCGGTGGGGAGGAGAGGAGGCCAGGCCATGGCGGCGAGCATCGGGATCATGGACGGCGCATACTTCGTCGGGAGGGGCGAGATCCTGCACTGGATCAATGCCACCCTCCAGCTCTCCCTCGCCAAGGTCGAGGAGGTCAGGCCCCGCTCTCGTCCCCCCCTTTTTGGTCACGCTTGTTCGGTTCGATTTGGTTGGGTTATTGAGGTTTAGGATTTTAATCTGTTTGTGAGGATTGCAATATGTTATTCGTGCGGGAGGATTGCACTGTATGGTCTGGAAACACGAGAGGATTGTGTGGCGTGACGCTGAATTTTGTGTTGATTCTGGAAGTTTGTTCTTGCTTTGCTGCAGGCGGCGTCTGGGGCCGTGCAGTGCCAGCTGTTGGATATGGTTCACCCTGGAGTGGTGCCGATGCATAAGGTTGGTTCCGATTCTTCCAAACTCCGACACTTGATTGATCTGTATTTGGGTGCAGACCCGTGGTGTTAAGTTGTCTAGTTGATTGTAACGACTGTCTTCTGTGTGCGGGTTTGCAGGTCAATTTCGATGCGAAGACAGAGTATGATATGATCCAGAACTACAAGGTTCTTCAGGATGTGTTCAACAAGCTGCGTATAGGCAAGGTATTGGCTGTCAACCTATTGCATTTCGATCCGTGGATTTGTGTTTGATGTTGTTGCCATTGGTGAAAAGGATGTGTGTGTCAACCTATAGCTTACTAGTAGCATGCCCGTGCTAACGCTACGGTGACTTTTCGGTTATGCTAATGCGTCGGGGGCGATACAATAGAAAGGACAAGCATAATAAGAAACTAAAGATAAGAAGATAACAAGTGCAAACTATGGAGTCTAACTCAAATAAAGCATGAGCCAATCATTTAGTGACAAAAATAGATAACCTGAAATAAGTAAAGTGTATTTCAATGACATAGATAAAAGGAACATAAAGGCCACATATTGATCCACGTGATCAAACAAGGACATATGTACACACTCCCTTTGAATACGGAACAATGCAAATATCACTCCCCTAGAGATCATTTGAATAGAAGGATGTGACATTATATCGAGCATGTATTTTCATACTATCCTGAATTTCCCACCATGTGTCAACAGAACAGAACTTTGTCAACAAAACACCAAAATTCAGCATTCATTTGTCATTTTGTTCCTTTCAAAATTATGTGTCTTTTTGCATCCGTTCAGCATGTTAACAGCAGCTAGCATCAAGCACTCTAAACTTCCAGAATATGGTAATTCTGCAGAGGTTTTAGTATGTGATACCCTGAAAAGATGAAATTACACTTTCTGAAACTTCATCTAAGCACAGGCCGCCTTTTGGGACTTTATTAGCAATGAGAGCTGATATTTTGTCACAATAACAAATGTATTTCCTAGCAGATACAATCTAACATTGCAACGTAGAGGTACGGAAACAAATTTATTTATTGATCAATCAGCTATCGTTATGACTAAGCACTAACCCAGAAAAGAATAGCAGAAACAGATAGATCGTTCTTTGCGAACCTGAGGGAAGTACATGTTACTGTGCTCCGTTTCCTTGAATTTGACATCAGGCTCATTTCCTAGCAAATCCTCAAATTTCTCTCGCACTAAAGCACCCTGAAAGAAGAAAGTTTATGCTATTGGTATGCTAAATGATTTACGGCTCTTTTTATGACAAGTTGCGCCAAGAGTGTTTCATCTGTATTCTTCTGCTATAATTTCTAGCAGCACATAAGTTCTTTCTTGCTCTTGTTAATGATTGGTTTTACCATGCAGAATATTGAGGTCAACAAGCTTGTTAAAGGACGGCCATTGGACAACTTGGAGTTCCTTCAGTGGTTGAAAAGATATTGTGATTCTGTGAATGGTGGAATTATGAACGAGTATGTGCCTTGAATCTTGATTGTGTTTGACTATAATAAAATGTTATTCCTGACCAAGGCATTGAGAAAACTATATTCTTGTTCCAGAAACTACAGTCCTGTAGAAAGGAGGTCTAAGGGATGCAAAGAACGTGGCTCAAAGTGTTCCAATAAGCCATCTAAATCATTGCAAGCCAATAGGCTTCCTGGTGTTGATTCAGCAGATGGAGGTGCGGAGTCTGTCTGATCTTTGATTAAGTGCTTGTCTAACTACATAATGAGGCTGCATCTAGCAGCCTTTTAGGTAGTGCTACTGCACAATATAATTGTTATTGCTCTGAAACGATGTATTTGTTAGAGGGAACTACTGGCTCTCAGCCCCTTGTCTGCTTTGGGATGTTGTAAAGTTTACCAATTTTTATGCTTCTGTTTGTTATTAATATCTCCATGCTAATCCAATTATACAGGCCCTGGAGTTGGAAAAGTATGTATCACTTTTTCTGAAGAGCATTACATAGAACAGATTCAGAAGCTGTCTGAGAAGGTATTTATTATGTACTACTGGTTACTGATTCAATTTATGGACTCTCCACATTAAAGCAAGAACGCATCCTTACTTTTTGTTCCGTTGATAGATTTAGCTTTTAAGTTCACAGCAGTAGTGTTGGAGGAAATCTCATACTTGTGAGGTAGTGACATTGAGTTCATCATAGCTGCTCCTTGATGTCTGCTTTTTTGGTTGAATTGCAGATTGCAGACCTGAAAGTTTCTGTCGATAGTACTGAAAAAGAAAGAGACTTCTACTTCTCAAAGTTGCGTGATATTGAGATACTGTGTCAACGGCCTGAATTAGAGCATCTACCGGTATAAGATAAATTCTATTAAATATCCATGTGTCTGCACATGTTTGCTGGTTTGATGTCATGACCTGCGTTCAAGAGCAACATTTTCTCAATTACTATGTTTATAGAGATTAATATTTCATCTGGTTGATCAAGAATTTTATCTGGGGTACCAACAAAACCCATACACAATCATGCTTCTTGAAAATTAGGATACCAACAAACCCTGTTCACTAACCCCTTATATGTAGTCTAGAAAAGTCAATTATGGTTCCCTTTTTTAATATTTCTCACAGCTTTAATTGATCCTGAAACAAGTAGTCGTACAAAAGGGAATTTATGTTATCCATATATGTAGTCTACCAATCTTCTACAATTCTACCACTATCACTCTGGTCTTTGCAATTTTTTTGGCTGGACCATGATGTGAGTGAATACCATCTCATTTGCATCTCACATGAAATATGATTCAGGATCTGAATAATTCGGGGGTGGCAAAATGATTTTGAATTGCTTTGCTCACATTTTAATTCTTTTTAGGTGATACCACTGACCTGAACTTTATTGTGACAGATGACTAAGGCGGTTCGGAAGATACTTTATGCAGCTGATGCAAAGGATTCACCGCTACCTGAGGCGAATGATATAATCACCAAGTCGCCAAGCTTGTTCTCAAGTGAAACCGAGTGAGATGTGCGGCTACATGAGCTAATTTTGGTGGTTATTTTCTATCATCGATGGTCGTCGTAGTTCTGAGTCTGTAAATGTGTAAAATAACATTTGACATGAGTCATTATGCATGTCAAAAACAGTTTTCCTGTAAGAACTTGCTACTTGCGAGTGGTTAACTAGTTATGATGCATTCTTGCTCGACGTGACAGTCCCTATATGGATTACATGCTTCCTCTGGAGAGAGAGATTCTGTTCTGTGATCAATATCTAACTGCTCGTTTCAATGAAATTCATCGCGTCTGTGTTGACAAGTTTTAACTTGATGGTACTTGCAATCTTCTTGCACCAGAAAAAAACTTCATGTATGCGCTCTGTTTTGAGTTGGGTTGGAGTGCATATGGATGAATGACCATTATAAGTTGCTGCTGAAATATTACTGTAGCCAGCCGAGTTGCTATTCAACTAGGCCCGGTTTATATCCACCTTACCACAGTGCTAGAAACGAAGAATTATAAACAGTGGATCCAAAGGATTTTATACTGAAGGATGTGCTAATTTTTAGTAGAATCGGTAAGATAAAGGTTGCTAGTAAGTGCTAAAAACTAGCAAGCTGATAACGAGCTGGGCGCACCATTGGAGCTTGCGTCGCCGCCGCCGCGAAGGGAAGGAGGGTGCGGGCCAGCCACAGGCAGGGGCGAGCAGGGCAACGCGCAGGCGGCGGGCCAGCAAAGTGGTGGGGTGGGGAGGCCAGCCGTGGGCAGGGGCAAGAACCGAGGAGACCAGTGGCGTGGCAGGCCAACAGCGGCGCGAGAACAGGGAGGTCGAAGCTTGAGCTCTAAACTGACGAAGTCGAAGACAAGGAAAAAAAAAGTTTTTCTCTCACATTATCTCTCTACGAGTACGAGAAATTAGTAAAATAATTTGTACAAGGTATTACGACAAATATATATGTTTTCATAATGATAGTACTGGACAAATGTTTCTCCTATATCCTTGAATCAAATTTCCCAATAAAAAATGCCTCGTCTTATCAATCCAATAAACATGCAGCACGGATTATCATATCCCAAAATCTAATCTATAGATGGTCATATACTACTCATGTTACATGTTAACATGTTAATTCTTTTCCTTCAAACCAAACACACCTTGTTTAGTTATGATTTTTTTTCCGAAAATAATATGATTTGTCAATTAATTCCGATCATAGTCTCGAAGTTGAAATTCGTCTAAATTCAGATGGAGAGGCCGGTGTTAATTTAAATGCATGCGTCCAAAATTGATGTGATAAAAATATTGAAAAATTTTACAAAATTTTGAGAACTAAGGTACTAAGTTGAGCTATATAATAGCCAAAGGTGGTGCCTTTGGGCTGCTCTTGTGCCATTTGCTTTAATGTCATGTCAAGTACTAGCGGTCTAGCGGAGGCGGAGCCGTAAACAATAATACCAGAGCACATGCACGTCATGTGACCACTGACCGGAGGCGAGGCGACAGCCGACAGACATGGCGGCTAGCGGCGCGCTCCCCGTGGTTGATCTGGCGCCTTTCTTCACCAAGGACGGCAAGGGCGGCATCGCCGGCGCCACCGAGGCCGTGCGCCAGGCATGCCAGACGCACGGGTTCTTCCGCGCCGTCAACCACGGCGTGCCGGTCGAGCTCATGGCGCGCGCGCTGGATCTGTCGGCCGCGTTCTTCGCACTGCCGGACGAAGAGAAGGCCAAGATCCAGCCGGCCCAGGGGTCTAGGGTGCCTGTCCCAGCCGGTTACGGACGGCAGCCGGCGCACTCGGCCGACAAGAACGAGTACCTGGTGGTCTTTGATCCCAAGCTCGGGCTCAACGCGTACCCCGCTGAGCCTGCAGGATTCAGGTCAGTTTTCGAATGCAAAATCGCGTCGTCCTTGTTGACTTCTTGTGCTGTCGAATAACATCGGAGCAATTACAAGATTCGGATTTACTAGTGCTCTTCGTTACCTAGTGTTAGCACGACCCTCTTTTAGATATCCCAAAATGCAAGGCCCAAGCAAAACTGTAAGGTGCGCACGCATATTCTTGATGTTTTCCTTTGATTTTTAGATGAACAAGTTTCTTAATACATCATCACTTCGTTTTCCCTTTCCCAACTTGCTTTCCAAAAAATAAAAGGTATCTGAACTTTTTAGTTTTTTTTTTCTAAAAGGTTTTCTCGAATATTGTGTGAAAGTTTATGTGGATCATTTTTGGAAAGATATTTGATTTTTCTTTGGAAAACATACGAGAATATAACTTTTCTACGCTTTAGAAAGTTTTGATATTTTTTCTTTGGAAAACATACGAGGATGGCGCCAGGCAGGCGGGCGGGCACGCCGCAGCGTTGTCGTGGACCACACTAGAATCCGTAACGGTGCGGTCGAGTGGAGGTCGCGTCTGCGCGAGTGGATTTTTTTACAAACTTCTTGAGTGGAGTTGTTGAGAGCTAGACGCAGTGAGTCATTCGTGCCGTCGCGGCCCACAACAACGGGAGCATCCAGATGCCCGGACCCCCTAAGCAGAACATATCTAAAAAATGAGATATGGAAGAAAAAATATATAAACATGACTGATAAATGGGTCCTAGAACGCCCAGACCCCCTAAGCAGAACATTTTTGAAAAAAATAGGATATGGAAGAAAAAAATCGAGTAATATGACTGATAGATGGTCCTAAAAAAGTAGAGTCCCTAGTTTGAATGTCGTTGTTAGATTTTTTTTTTTTGTCGATCATACTCCTCCGTCCAGAAAAGAATGTAATTCTTACTTTTCGATAAGTCAATCAGTTTGAACTTTGACCCAAATTATATAAAAAAATACTACAAACATTCCTTATGCAAAATTAATATAATTAGATTAGTCATAAAATATATTTTCATACTAAATTTATTTAAAGATATAAATATTAATAATATTTGCTATAAACTTAGCCTAACTAAGTTACTTTAACCGGCACCTACGTCATGTATTCTTTTACGACGGAGGGAGTAGCTGCTAGAATCGAGTCCGGGAAACAGAGCCATCAGGAAGTAGCATTTGATTTCATCGAACGGCGGGAAAAAAACTTGGCTTGTATATATTTTTCTTAGGATTAAATTAAAGAAGCCCCATAACTAGAAATCTCGTGATGTGTCACTTCTCGACATCCAGAGAGACCGTGGAAGAGTGCCATGCCAAGCTCATCGAGCTGGGGTTGCTCATCCAAGACATCCTGAACGAGTGCATGGACCTTCCGCCGGGCTTCCTCAAGGACTACAATGACGACCGCGGCTTCGACCACATGACGGCAAAGCGCTACTTCCCGGCGACGGAGGAGGAGAACGTCGGCATCAGCGAGCACGATCATCTTCCAGGACGGCGTCGGGGTCCTCACCGACGGCCACTGGGTACCGGCGGAGCCCGCCTGCGGCAGCATCATCGTCAACATCGGCGATGTCATACAGGTGAAGCCGGCGAGCAGGATAAGCAGCTCCACGCAAATACGCAATGAGCCCGTAACAAAAATCTCCTTTTATCCCCAAATGTAGGTGCTGAGCAACAACAAGCTGAAGAGCGTGACGCACCGGGTGGTGAGGAAACCTGCGCACAGGCACTCGTTCGCCTTCTTCTTCAACCTGCACGGCGACAAGTGGGTCGAACCGCTGCCGGAGTTCACGGCTAAGATCGGCGAGGCGCCGCGATACAGGGGGTTCCTTTACAGGGAGTACCAGCAGCTGCGCGTGAGGAACAAGACCCTTCCGCCGGTTAGGCCCGAGGACGTCGTCAACATCACCCACTATGCCATCTAGTTCAGTAACAAAGTATTTCAATGCGCAGAAATGCAGGAGCAAGGCTCGTGTATTTACGAAAAATATTGTATATCAATAAAAAAATAGCTCCTTATCCATCCAATAAACAGGCAGCATGGATCATCATATCCTAAAATCTTTAGACTGTCATATCACATCTAACTTTGCCTTCAAATCAAGCACACCTTTATTGACAGAGTATACTCCCAATTTCATCGATTTTGGGGTCGTTTGATTATATTTGGTATTTGTTCATGTTTTGTTTTTTTTTTCTCTATCAGAAGTTTCTATGTTGAAACTTTCAGATGGAAACCGGTGTAAGTCGAGGCATATAGCCAAGCGGTGCGTTTGTGCTGCTCTTGGTGCTTCCCTAGTGCACCACGCTGTTTCACCAAGTAGACATGTCATAAACAATGGTGGTCTCGCAGGTTCTCATAGATACTTGTAGAAGCACCAGTGTCTATATAGGCTGGACATTTTTTTTTCTGAGGCTAATGTTTAGTGTTGTCTTTGTTGGGAGATGGGGCCCTTATGCCATTTGTCATGTGAAGTGCTAGGGGAGACGTAAACAGTAATACTCACTCCATCCTAAAAATTGTGTCGCTATGGGCATGCTGTGCTTGTCAATTTTTTTGTATGCTTAACTAGATTTATAAAAAAATTATCAGTAATATTTTTAATCTCCAAATAAATTTATTAAGAAAATATATTCAATAATTCATTTATAATTATAAATATTAATATTTTTTATATGTTTAATTTCAGAAGAAGTGAGAAAAACACTTTTACGGGACTTAGGGAGTACTGGCATATGCACCTCACGTGGCATTTCTCCTTTCAATCGTGTGTGTCAGTGTGTGTGACCACTGCCCAGAGGCGACAGCCAATAGACATGGCGGCTAGCGGCGCGCTCCCCGTGGTTGACCTGGCGCCTTTCTTCACCGAGGACGGCACCGCCGGCGCCACCGAGGCCGTGCGCCAGGCAAAAGTGGCGGACCAGGATTTGAAACCAGGGTAGTCTTAGTCAAAAAAAATTTATGTACAACACGATAAAATTCAAAGAAAAAGTTCGATAAAATGCTTATAAATTAACTAAATTGAGATAATACAATTGAAAGGTTCAAAACTTATAGATTATACATAAGATAAGGTCTTACATAAATAAGAAATTACAATACAAGTTCTAGTTCAAAGCTTTTGCTTTGCGCTTTCTCATTGCCATGAAAGCATGAACTATGCCATCCTCGCTTACAGTGGAGAATATATCACGCTCAATAAAGGTAACCAAACAATCATTCAATAACCTATCACTCATACTATTTCTCAACTTATTTTTCATTAAACACAATGCAGAGAATACTCTTTCAACACTTGTTGTCGCCACTGGTAAGATCAATGCTAATTTAAGGACTAAGTACACCAAACCATAAAATTCATGTTTCTTAGTGTCAACAAGCTTGTTAGAGAGCTCACCGAGGTTGTGCGGTCCTTCAAATCTATCATCCATTCTCACATCTTCAATATATGTGCTAAGTTGAATTTCAAGTGTCATCAAAGCAGAACTTGGAAAATCTTTGGGATAAAAAGTTGCAAGCTTAAGGATTTTCTTAGCATCAAATGAGACAAATGAATTGGAGGGATTCAATGCTGACATACAAATAAGCAACTCCCTACTAACCTCATCAAACCGATTCTCAAGCTCTTGATGAATTCTATCAATAATACCAATAACACTTCTCTTCTATAGTGATCATCAATTGTTTGTACAAGATAAAAGCGATGGGATCTTCCATGAGGCTCATATTTGCTATCCATTGCAGGAACATCAATAGAATATTCGATGCAAAATGATTTAACCTTTTCTAAGAAATCTTCCCACCCATTAGACCTCAATTGTTGGAACCTTCTCTTTGCCACATCAACGAGTGCCATTGCATTAACAATATTTTGGTCTCTCTTTTGCAAAGATTGAGACAACTCATTTGTGTACCCAAGAATCACAAGCATCAAGTGGGCATTGAAAACAAACTCAAATGACTCTAAAGTCAGAACCATAGCATGTATGTTTGGCCAATCATCTCTTTGTGTGGGATCCTTTCCAAGAGTTATGAATACTTCCCGAATGGTAGAATGCATGCCAATGATATACAAAACAGTTCTATAATGAGAACCCCACCTAGTATCACCAGGTCTAGCCAATCCCATCTCTTGATTTAACCCACTTCCACTTTCTATTTCACCCAATTCAAGTGCTTTCTTCAATTTTCGTGCTCTAACATCTCGAAGCATATCATGGCGTTTGCAAGAAACTCCAACAATATTCAGCAAGCGTGAAACTTGAGCAAAAAAAGTACTAGCCCCAACATCTCCCTTGGCAACAGCAACAAGCACTAGTTGGAGTTGATGTGCAAAACAATGCACATAATAAGCAGAAGGAGACTCTTTCATTATCAGTGTTTTCAGCCCCTTAACCTCTCCTTTCATGTTACTAGCCCCATCATATCCTTGCCCACGACAAGAACTAAGACTCAAGTGATGACTAGTGAGTAAAGATTGAATAGTTGTTTTAAGTTCCAAAGAAGTGGTGCCACGAACATGAACTACTCCAAGAAACCTTTCACAAACACTTCCACGTTTATCAACATAACGCAAACAAATAGCCAGTTGTTCTTTATGTGATATATCACTACATTCATCAGCTAGAATTGCATAGTAGTCATCCCTAAGTTCTTCAAGTATGTATCTAGTGATTTCCTCAGAGCAACATCTAATAATTTGCTTTTGTATGTGAGGGGAGGTCAAAATGCAATTACCTGGGGCATTTTTCAGAACCACTTTGTGCACCTCTTCATTATTTCCTGCAAGCCAATTCAAGAGTTCAAGGAAGTTTCCTCTGTTGTTAGATTCTTCAGTTTTATCATGCCCACGACAAGCCAATCCTTGATGCAGAAGGAATCTCAAACATCTAAGTGAATAAGTCAACCTAGCCTTGTAATCAACTCGATCCTTTTCTGACACCTTCTCAATGACAGTATCAATTTTTGTACCCTTTTTCACAAATAAGTTGTATTTCTCTTGAGCAAACTTGTGTAAAGTTGAAGACTCATGTTTGTCGAGTCAAGTGATATAGTTCCCATATTCCAATTATGCCAACCATCCGTAATAAATTTTCCACTTTTCTTACCAAACAAATAACAATAGAAGCAATATGTTGCATCCATCTCTACGCTATATTCAATCCAATGGTACTTATGAAACCAAACAAAACTAAAGCGGCGATCTTTGCCATAGATTTTTCTGGATGGATAATTATAGGCATAAAGATGACAGGGGCCTTTTAAAATATACCTTCTTCTGATAGAATCTTGTTCATTCACATCAAAGGTTGAAATAGGACTCCATAGGCCCGGGTCATGCTCAAGGGAATCAACATCAGCAGCCGTAGGCGGTTCTTCTTCCTCTTCTTCTTCAACTTCATCTGACCCATTATCTGTTACTCTAGGTGTTTCTGTCCCTTCATCCACAACTACGATAGCACTTTCATCACTCACAATTAGAGGATCTTCTACAACAGGAATAGACAACTCTTCATCAACAGGTGGAATTGGTGGAGCACAAGTTGCAACTTTTTTTGCCTCATGCTTCTGAAAAAGAAATGCTATATTTGATTTCTTCATGCCTCAACTTCCTGAAAAATTACAACAATTTCCATTCAATTCTAGGCTCACAAGAATTCTCAATTATATGCTCTGATTTCATTCACAAGAAGTCAAGAACAAATCCCTAACCAAATTCACAAGAACTCAAGGAGACCATGACAGATGAACCTGGTGACAGAGGCCTCTGAGGGACCGGGTCACCGGGAAGGGCGGACGCGGCATTGCCAGTCTTTGGCGTAACCTAGTACCTATTATCTTGATCTTTGGCCGGGATTGGCCGGCGGCGTTATTGTATGTTGCCGCTGCTACTGGATCTTGCCGCTGAGGCTACTGTGGATCTGGCGAGGCGGAGCGCCGAGCGGATCGGGAGCAGTAGCTTTCGTCATTGACGCTTTGATCATTGGACGCACCATTGGCGCCGCAGCAGGGTGGGCCGGCGGGGGTAGAAGCGGCAAGGCGCTCATGGTGGCTCTCGCCTCCTCGATCAGCGTCCTTCTGGTCGGCAAGGCCACCACGGATCTGGCGGAGGCGCTTGAGCGAGTGGCTCTTTGGCGCCGCTGTTAGACGCTGACGCCTTGACGACGCCATTGGCTCGGGTCGCGGTGGCGGCCGGCAAGTCTTTGTCTTGGTGGGGGCGCCGGTGGCTCCTCGGTCGGCCTGGCGCGCCGACTTCGTGGAGCGTCGTCCGTCCGGAGGAAGGGAGCGGAGTCGCGACGCAGAGGCAACTTCTTTCGCCGCCGCGCGGTCTTGACCGGGAGAAAGAGGAGCAATGGGCCAAATTTTCATGGGCTGCGAAAAGTACTAAAAAAAATTTGGGCCAAAGTCCAGAGTAGTCCTGAGCCTACCTGCACTGCCCATTGGGCCCGCCCAGGATGCCAGACGCATGGGTTCTTCCGCGCCGTCAACCATGGCGTGCCGGTCGACCTCATGGCACGCTCGCTGGAGCTGTCAGCCGCGTTCTTCGCGCTGCCGGACGAGGAGAAGGCCAAGGTCCGGGCGGCCCAGGGGTCCAAGGTGCCTGTCCCAGCCGGTTACGGACGGCAGCCGGCGCACGTGGCCGACAAGAACGAGTACCTGGTGGTTTTTTATCCCAAGCTGGGGCTCAACGCGTACGGCGTACCCCGATGAGCCTTCTGGATTCAGATCAGTTCGAGCGCAGAATTCCCTACTTGTTGACCTTTTTGAGTTCTTGATCGAATTGAAGAACATCGGAGCCAGGACGGACTTCGAAATTTCTTATCGAGGGCCGAGGGGTCAGGGGATCAAAGAGCAAGATCTAGATATAAGGGCTCTCCAATAGTGGTTGTGAACTTGTGATCTTTTTGCATACAAAGTGCTAGTTGTGCATACTTTACCTTTTACATTTAATAAATTTTCAGTAGGGGTTTCATCCCCCCTGTTCTATAGAAAAATGCTAATTGTGGTTGTGGAGTTAATCAAACAGGCCCCTATGGCTGTGATCTTCTTTGCATACAAAGTGCTAATTGTGCATACTTTACTTTTTAATAAATTTTCAGCAGGGGTTTCACCCCTCCTGTTTTATAAAGAAATGTTAATTGTGGTTGTGGAGTTAAGCAAGCCCATTACCCATACGAAGATTAGGAAAAAAGAGGAATAAGAAGGGGCGAAAAAAAGGAGGGGAGGGGGGACCGGGGGAGCACGCTAGCAGATAGCTCCATCCGTTGCAAATTATAGCACGTCCAATCAATTCTCAATTAGCGACGAAGAATTTCAAAAGGTTCGAGGGCCAAATGTTTCGTCAGACAACTAAGAAACACCTGATATGATCTTTTTTGAAAAGGAGATTTTATTTCATCCCAAGATCAGTGCATCGATTTAATACATGGCCTTAGAACAACCTCTCAGTCTGTGCTAACTGATATACACACAAGTTAAGATTAAAAATATTTTAAGCATACTCTAATGACATTCAATCATAAGACTAAATCGCCACCCATATTTCCGGGTAAACACCTGATACGATCTATTCCTTTCGTTCTAAATTATAAATCACTTGACTTGTTTGGTACATAGATTTTGTTATGTATCTAGATATAAATTATATCAAGAGATATATAGCAAAATTAATATAACATGAAAGTCCAAGCGACTTAGAATTTAAAATGGATGGAGTAGAAAGAAACAACTGATGCACCACATCCTACATCTTCAGAGAGACAGTGGAGGAGTGCTACAGCAAGTTCACCGAGCTGGGGTTGCTCATCCAAAAGATCCTGAACGAGTGCATGGGGCTCCCGCCGGGCTTCCTCAAGGACTACAACGACAACCTCATGATAGTAAGGCGCTACTTGCCGGCGACGGAGGAGGAGAGCACCGGCTTCAGCGCGCACGAGGACGCCAGCTGCATCACCTTGATCTGCCAGGACAACGTCGGGGGCCTCGAGGTCCTCAAGGACGGCCACTGGGTACCGGCGGAGCCCGGCGGCGGCAGCATCATCGTCAACATCGGCGATGTCATAAAGGTGAAGCCGGAGCGAAGGATAAGCAATTCCACGCAAATACGCAGGCACTCGTAGGCGATGTCATAACAAAAATCTCCGCCCATGTAGGTGCTGAGCAACAATAAGCTGAAGAGCGCGACACACCGGGTGGTGAGCAAAGCTGCACACAGGCACTCGTTGTCGTTCTTCTCCAACCCGCACGGCGATAGGTGGGTGGAACCGCTGCCGGAGTTCACGGCCAAGATCGGCGAGGCGCCGCGGTACAGGGGGTTCGTGTACAAGGAGTACCAGCGGCTGCTCGTGAGGAACAAGACCCATCCGCCGGCCAGGCCCGAGGATGTCGTTAACATCACCCACTATGCGATCTAGTTCAGTAACAAATTGGAGTTCGATGCGCAGAAATGCAGAAGCAAGGCTCTTGTATATATGGAAAAATTGGAGGTGTCTCTCCTCTATATACTACTCACTTCTGGTAACATTTTGTTCCTATATATGTAGTATATAAATTAAAGACCAGCCTACCGTTGTTTTTGGAGGAGTAAACTATTGGCCTATTGCTTTGGTGTGCGAGTCAAAAAAGATATAGATAAGCTTGAAACATCGAAAAGTGTGTGTCTTGTTTTTCACCCAGGCGACCCGGTTCAAATCCCGGCAATGGAAACTTTTTTTTGCCTTTTCCCTTGTTTTTCTTTTTTTTCGTCTTCTTCCTTGTTTTTCTTTTCAGAGGATGTCTCCACGTACTTGCTGAGAAAATTATATGCTAACAGCGTGTATAGTTATACTGTAACGGTGAATTGCCCAGAAACGTTGACAAATATAAGTCCCAGAGTTCCTTTTTTATGCTCCATCAGTTCCAAAACGAATGGAACGTTTGACCAAAGTTATAGGGATGTTTGGTTGGCCGACGAAGCCTGCCACGCCATGCAGTTGTGGCGAAGGTATGTAGATGCCATTGGTGCAAATGCACCACCCAAAATTTATGAAAACAATGGTTTTTCTAAAATTTCATCATATATGCACCCTATAGTACAAGTCTATGCACCAATAAGGTAAGTGCACCACCCACTAATTTGCTCTAACTTCGCCACTGACGCCATATGTGGCGCCGCCGAAGCCTTTGCTTTTCTGGCCATGGCTCGCCACGCTGCAACGACGACGTCGCCGAACGTTAGGCGATAAATTTGGGCGCCACAAGTGTGGTGTGCTTTTCTACTGGAAGTACTCCCCGTGGCAGCCACAGCTTTGACAAGAACCAAATAGCAGCTGCAGTACCGATGGGCGATGGCCGCCACAGTATGTGGCGTGGCCTGCGTCGGCAGCGAACCAAACACTAGCCTAGCTCTCCGTGGCAGTCGCATGTCGGCCGGCAACCTCCTAGTGATTGGTGTTCAAATTTATGGCTCTAAATATTTATTATGAAAATAAGAATGCAACGTAAATTATGTGCCAGTTAAAATGGTTCACATCTGACCAAAGTTCTAGTGAGTGATGTTCACATTTATGGCTCCAAATCAATTTATTATGAAAATATATTTCATATTGCATTTTTTTTAGAACGGAGAGAGTATATATAAAAAAAGACATCGCTCCTAATTGAAAAGAGCAAGGGAGAAACTAAACAAAACCAAACGACGCTGCAATTTATGAGGACCTATCAAATTTGCCGCTTCAAGTAAGAAAACTATATGGTATCGCCACGTTGAGCACTCAACATATATTCATATATTCAGAGCAAAAAAGAAATACTAAGGCGTTGGAGTGTTGGACAAATATCCAATGCAACTTTCGCGGCTAGTCTGTACTATGTAGCTTTATATGTTTATACTTTATAGCCTCGAAAATCAGCCTGTTTGGCAGGCCATAAACGGTCGTTGATTATTTACTCACTGGCTAATTTAATGTGAAAGAAAAATATTATTTCAGCTTATAATCCACGATCATATACAACAAACAAACAGGCTTCCGTGAAACCAATTTTGTTGTTCCATTTTTCACGTACCAATCTGATCGATTTGATAGCTGAAATACAAAACGTCTAACAACGCACAAACCAAGGTCACTTCCTTTTTCTCACGGCATGTGTATAATAAAAGGAGAACAAAATATACTAAGAATAGGTGTGCAATAAAAGCAGAACAAAACTACTAAGAATTGTCCTACAGCATGTCCACGCTCCACCTCTCCATGTACTACGTACATCTTATTGCTTTGGGGCCACAAGATCGACAACCGCTCAGTAAAATTCTCAGACAAAAAGGCCCATTAACTTTACAGTGTAATCTCATCTTTAGTTGTCATCCTCGATGCAAAATTCAAACATTTCCATCCACCACTCAAACTACTGCCAACTACATTACAATCTCTCTCAACTGTGTAATGAGCCAAAGACGGTAAAATGCCACTAGATTTTCATGTGCAAAGAAGACCGACACATACGAAAGAAAAATGTTGCACAGAAAAATGGGAAACGAACCAATAGATGTAGGCTCCCGATGCCTTTTAAGACTTGAAGCTATCTCATTGATATTGTTATGGTTCACGTAGAATAATTAGCCCCATTTGACAATAGCTGAACCCCAGGTAAGTCCAGCGCCGAAACCTGATGCCGCAATAATATCACCAGTCTTCACCTTGCCACTGCGAACAGCCTCATCCAATGCTAATGGGATGGATGCCGCACTGGTATTGCCGTAGTTAGCAAGATTTGAAATAACCTTGTCAGATGGGATATCTAATCGACTGGCAGCAGCATCAATAATCCGCTGATTAGCCTGTAACACAGAAGATCATTTAGAACAGCAATGATTCAGGTCAAGTACATTTTTAGTTAGGATACTCACTTGATGTAACAACAACCAGTCGATACTGGAGGCGGGCAAACCAGCTTCTTGGAGTGCCTTCTCAATGGACTGTGGCACGCATCGGACAGCAAAGCGAAAAACTTCCTTTCCGTTCATTTGAATGGATGAGTAGGTTGCCTTCTTTGGTGGAAATCCAGGAACACCATTGGTATTGGACAAGATTGACTCGTCATTTGCTGTTACGGCATTTAGGTGCCTACATGTAAATAAAGAGAAACTATGTAAGCCAACATATATTTAGAATGAATTCTCAGTATCTCACAACATTCTCGAAAGGAAGTCGCACTTTTGTCCATTGCCATCACTTTGAACACAAAAACCTAGCAAGCCATCTTCATCAGCGCTGCATGCCTGCAAAATTCTAAATTAAGAAGTTCTGCATGCCTGCAAAATTCTAAATTAAGAAGTTGGACAAGATAATTTGGATAAAGATCTCGTAATTAACAGTGTCACATCACCCAGCATGGCTTCTCATGTTTTTTACTGAACAAAGTTCCAACCATACTTCATTCAGATTTAGCCATGGTACATTAACTAACTTACTGGGATGGGGAGAAATATAAATATTTACACGGGAAATAAGCTATACCTGTACCAACACAGCACCAGCAGCATCACCAAAAAGGATGCATATACCTCTGTCTGTCCAATCCACGTATTTTGAAAGAGCATCAGCACCAACCACTAGGACATTCTGAAGACCTCCACCTACAACAGTATGAATATATTACTCAAGTGGCATATTAATTTTGAGGGAGCAATTCCACATCAACCACATAAATTTTTAATAATTGAATTACCTTTGATAAAACGAGTAGCTGTGATTAAGCCAACTATAAACCCACTGCAAGCAGCTGTAATATCAAATCCAAAAGCATTTGTGCACCCCACTTCTGCCAGCACCTATTAGTTAAGGATCAATTGGAACTTTTAATAAAACACCAAAACAGCATGCTCATAGTAAGGCCCCGTTTGGCAGAGCTCCAAGAGCTGATTCTCTGTTGAATCCAGCAGGAGCTCTGCCAAACAATTTTTCAGAGAGAAGTGATTCTCTGCTGATTCCGTGAAGTGATTCTCTGAAATGAACTAGGAGGCTGAGAGTTGAAAAAAGTAACTTCTCCTGATTATGTGAAGTGACTCTCCATCATGATTTCAAGAGTTTATGCTAAAGAATCAAAGAGAATCACTTTCAACCACAGAATCACTTCTCTCAGAGAATCAGAATCAGATGGAGCTCTACCAAACAGGCCCTAATCAACAGAAAACAAGACTAAAGAACAGTTATATCGATATCAATTTCCTTAAAAGTGCAACAAGAAAATTGTACCCTTTCAAACTAGGCCCAGCTTATGGTACATACAGTAAAAGTGTAAAGTAGACAATGAATCTCAGGCAAAAAATGGTGCCCGCTGAAAGTATAAATGGGCAGTACCTTTCAAAATGCTAGCAGGAAATATATAAAAGCAGTGCAGGACCATTGTCCATGTTTAATAATGTGCATAGATTGACATTAGCACTTTACATTTCAGAATACCAACTCTAAATTTCAAAGATTAAGCAAAGTTTTTTTTTTCAGAACCAAGTTTCAATGCACCAAGAAAGAGCCATATGAGGCTTCTCATGTATTGAAACAAAATTCTAACTTTCAAAGGCTAATATCTTAGTGCAAAATGGCATAATAACGCTTAAATATATTTTACAAGATACCTGAGCGGCACCTCCAAACAGATCATCTGGAGTAGATGTACAAAGGAGAACAAGGTCAACGTCTTCAGCTTTTACTTCGGCCATCTCAAGTGCCCTTTGAGCTGCTTGAATTGAGAGCCCCCGCAATGTTTCATCTCCTGTCGCATTTGGAAAGTAGAAGGGAAAAATGAGGAAAAGAAGCAAAACTAAGAACCTATTGCAACTGAAATTGTTGTGACAACAAAATATGCTTTCCAACTGACATGGAAACACCAGCATTAAATGTTATGACCCACATATATAGTAAATTAGTAATTACAAACAAACTTCCAGCAAAACATTTTTCTGTTCAGATCTATCCAACAGAGGTAGACAGAAATCAATTTTTAGGTTAATATTTTCCATAGTCCTTGGGAAAGTGCCAAGAGATACTATAGTTTGGTACCTAAGTACCAATTTAAGTACCTCATGTTATGATCAGTGCACCAGTGGTACCACTCCAAGAATAGAGAATTCTTCTAGCAGTTGTCCTAAACCTAACTGGTAACTACACAAATCAGTAGTCAAACTACAAAAGAAGATACAATGTTTATTTGTAAGGTTTTACAATAATAAGGCATAGATTCTTAATATCATTGTACTTTACTTTGTAATCGCATTGTTTTTGTTTATAATAGTTTTAACATTATTTTATCATATATCAGAATTTCCATATGATATTGTTTTGACAGAAAAATCAAAATTATTCATGTCAAAAAACTACTAAAATAAAAACTGATGTGCCAAACGGTTTGTGCACATCCCCTACGGTTACCAGTCAAC